TTTTGTCACCAACACAGTGACTGCGAGTATTTCAGTTGGTTTTTCACCCCCTACATGTGCACCATCGGCTCAGATCAGCCTCGTATGCCCGTACTAGTCGGCATGGGTAATCCTCTATTGGATATCTCCGTCAACACTGATGCTGAGATCCTCGATAGGTCCTCGAGCTCGTCTCTCTTCATCACTTTGATGATGCTGATTCAGGTACAAGCTCCAGCCGAACAACGCCATTTTAGCCGACGACTCGCACATACCACTCTACCCCGAAGTGACCAAAATGTCCGGGGTAAGCACTCATTTAAATATGTGTTTGCTTTCCTCAGCTGAGCTCCGGTGTTTATTTCAGACTTCGGTTAGAAATGTTCAGAACCCAACAAGAATTTCCCGCAAAAATTTTCTCGGAATTTTCATATTTTTACCAACGTATGTAGTTGACCATGTGTATATTTTCCCACTATTTCTCATAGGAATCAAGATGAATTTCCCGCGAAAATTTTCCCAGAATTTTTTAATTATATTGCCCATGTATATATTTTCCCCTCACACTGTTTTTCGATCCGTATGTAGGTGGAATATATAGCCGGCGGAGCGACGCAGAATTCTATGAGAGTTGCCCAGTGGATGCTTGGTGGCCGAGGTGATGCTGCATTCATTGGATGTGTTGGAAATGATCAGTAAGTTGTCTACTCATTAAAATGTTACACTATGTAAGGACCCTTGAAGTGGTCTCCTTATAATAGGCGTCAATATGTGAGGACCCTTGAGGGTGTCTCCTTATAATAGGCGTAGTTTCATTCAATATGTGATTACCATTGAAGTCGTCTACTCCTAATAGGCGTAGATTCATTCAATACTTTTTCATTTTCATTCGATTTTTCGATAAGTACTTCTCATAACGTGTTATCATCTTGTTTTTTTAACTTGGCAATTTCCTGGTGATAGGAAGTATTCGATTTTACTCAGATTTCGTCCTTCCTGTTTTTTTACGGTTTTTTTCTATCAGTTATGCGAAAATCATGCAAGAGAACTGCCAGAAGGCCGGAGTGATCACTCGATATCTCGTTGATGAATCTACACCCACTGGGACTTGCGCTGTTCTGGTCACTCACGAAGGTGAAATTTTTCGCCAACTATTTTTAACTATTTGTTCTTCAGGGCAAATGCGTTCGTTGGTCGCTAATTTGTCTGCTGCTATCAAATATGATCACATTCACATTCACGATGCTGAAAATTGGAAACTTATTGAGCACGCACGTAAGCTGATATAGGTGGCTCTACTTTACCCTAGTGAAAAAATATATTTCACGACTACTACAGGCCGCGAATATCGCGTTTTTTACAGAGTATTACGCCACTTCACGTGTAACGGGTTTCGAAACTCCAATGTTAAATATGATAATGTAAATTACGTTGACATGTTATAACATCGCAAGGTTTATAAATGATATTTTATATTATAAAGCCTAGGTTCATTATTACCAATATAAATTAAATATTAGGTTATGATAAAAATAAGGTTATTAAATTATATGTTAACAATATTAAGTGTAGTGTTATTCAACTGGAAATATTTTGGGTACTTTATAGCTTTCGAAGTTGTTGTATGTTGAGTATTTCCGTATATTCGATGGGTAGTGCCTATATCTATTGATTTTTATATATTATATATTAACTGTTGCCCATCCAATAATAATTTATAATATAGTGGAGCTTTACCCGTTTTACGTGAAGTGGTGTAAAACTCTGTGAAAAACGCAGTAGTCGTGAAATATGTTTTTCCTGGTGTTTTTCATATGACGGTTGTGAAGCTCCAATAATTATTATAATATAGTTATGTTCATGAATATATAATATTTCAGAGAGAAAAGGTATTATAATGAAGTTTCATGATATTTCAAAACGTCATTTTTTCTTTCGCTCCGAGAATTAGTTGCTGATCCGTTTATCAATTTTACTAGTGTCCTGTGATTGTCTGGGAGGTTGATAAATAGCGTTTCTCAGGGTTTGATAACAGAGGGGGCAAATGCTGTTCCTGATTTGAAGTTTACAATGTAAATATTATTCAACTTTACAAGAATTACA